GCCCTGGTCCCCCCAGCCCTGCTTGGCTTTCCCAGCTCCTGCTTTACCCCCACGTTTCAGGACTGCCCCCTTGCCCAGGAGCCCCCAGCAGAGCTGCCCAGTGTGTCCCAGGCACAGCTGGGGGACAGAGTGAGAGGGGTCACAAGGAGGGGGATGGTGGTGTCTGTTCCTCAGTTTCCCCAGCTGGAAGAGGCACCATAAGGGGAGAGAGTAGCTGGAACCCAACATGGAAGCTGCAGGGAAGTGTGTCCTGAGGGAGGGTACAATCACACCCTGGTTTCACCCCCAAAAAGTCCTTCAAGGGAGGTGCCAGTTCAGTGGGCAGCATCCTCCCTCCCCCATACCCTGACACCCCACACCAGCCAAAACCCAGGGGACAAGGACATGGAGATGGTGAGATTGGGATGGGGCTTGGCCCTGGGATCTACTGGAAAGATGGAGCAAGTTCCTCCAGGAAGGAAATCTCTGCAGCCCCCAAAACAAGCGGCAGGAGCTGCAGGAGCTGTGGTTTTGGGGTGTCTGGGAGAAGGGCAGGGAGAGGGCTCATGCTGTGCCATAGTGGGAGTACTGTCTTAGCAGAGAGCAGCAAATGGGAAAAGCATTTCCAGGAGGACTTCAAACACCCCAGGCTCTTTTCACCCTCCTCCTCACTCCCAGTTCCCTGGGAAGGGGGAAATCTGCAGCAGCAGCCCTGACCCCCTGCAGCTGGGTCACTCCAGGGAAGCCCAGGGACGTGGCAGGAAGAGGTGCAGGCTGGCACGTTGCACATTTTCTTAGAAGGAGAAGAAAAACTCCCAAATCATCAAAAAATTCCCCCTGCTCCCTTGGAAAGGGCACTGAAACCACAGCAGGGCCTGTACAGCCCGTGCTGGAGGACTGGCAGCCTCTGGGGTGCTAGCAGCCTCTGTCGGTGCTGGCAGCCTCTGGGGTTAGCAGGGATTTGTTCACCAGGACCAAAAATGATCCTGGGGCCCCTTCTCCTGGTGAGGCAGCGGGTGAGGAGGGACCTGCTGTCCCCGTGGGGTTGGAGCAGCAGTTGCCCTCGGTATCAGCGTCACCCGCAGGGATGGGACATGTCCTCCCTGCTCCAGCATTTTCCCAGAAGCATTCCAGGTCCTGCCCATGTTCCTGGAGCTGCTGGCTCCCGGCCTGGCCTGTGCCATACAAGGGAGAAGGAGCACGTGCCATGCTGGTGACTGTTCCCTTGTCCCAGGAACGGCTGTCACCTCCTCCATGGAGCCCAAAACTGGAGCAGAGCAAATCCAGAGCCCTGCCTGGGAGGAGGCGGGCACAGATCAGGGCTGGAGGGCTGCCAGGGACCCTGAGGAATCTGGCTCCAGAGGCATCAGCTGTCCAGGGAACACAGAACAAACAAAAAGCTTGGAAAGTGTCCACTGCCCGTGCAGGGATGAGGGATGGAGGAGCTCCCAGGGTCTGGGGGGCTGAGTGTGACAGCAGAGCTGTGCAGGGACATGTCCTGTGCCATCTGTGCTCCTGTTTCCACAACTCAAAAGGTGCATGGAATGAGGCAGCACCTCGTGGGGATGGGAGCACGGTCCATGGGCCCCATGGCCCCCTTGGAGGGGTCCCCCTGCTGTCTTTGGGACAGTGCCCAGGGCTGGAGGGGCAGGGCAGGGCAGTGTAAGGACATCTGTCACAGCACAGCCCCAGCAACGTTCTGAGCAGGAGCTGCTGCCCAGGGAGGTGGTGGCAGGGGACATCCCTGTCCTCACCCAGCAGGACATGGCTCTGGCACAGACCCCACAGACACGCAGCCACAGGTGCCACAGGAGACCCCCAGCCCCTGCTCCCCCTTGGCTGTTTTCCAAGGCTCTGTGCAAAGGCTGCCCTCACTCCCCAGTTTCTCACTTTAAGCAAACCCTGATGGGACTCACAGGGATGTGCTCGACTCTTCCAGCAACCCAGCAATGGTCTGGTCTGGGATCCAGAGGAGGAAAAGGCCAGAGCCAGGCCAAGAAGTCCAGGAAACCCATGAAGGAGCAGAGTGCCCCAGGGAGCATTGATGCTTGTGAGCTCAGAACCAACTGTGGGATTAACACATGGAGAGCAGGTGGCTTTTCCAAGAGTTATTTATCAAGGAACAATGAAAGTTGTGGGTACAAGGAGCTCCCTGCACTTTTCCCTGTGAGCCAGCTGCTTCACCCCATCACCCTGCCAGCAAGGCACCAGTGAGTGCCTCCAGCTGTCCCTGCCTGGCAGTGTCACTGTGCTGTGGTGTCCTGGAGGGGGGACACCTTCCGACCTGTGCCTGAAGGAACAGAGAGACCTTCCCACCACCACCAGATCTTTGGATCAGTCCAGTTTGAGTTCCCCCTAATCTGCAGCTGGACTGAACATCTGTGATCTCCTCTGGAGGTGGGACACATCTCAGAGTTTGGGATGAGACTGAGAGACCCTTAACTTGCAACAGCTCCTCGGTGAGTTCCTGACAACACCCTGAATTAATACCAATTAAATCCATGTATTTAATGTCTTCATATGTGAACCACTGTCCAAATCTGAGACTAAGACTGGGTCTGGGCTGTACCTAAGGTCCATCAGGAGTTTAGGAAGCGGGGGGGGGGGGTCTTGTCTGAACCTTGCATTCAACAAAAGGGTCTCTCTTACCCTTTTACATCTTCAGTGTCAGTGTAAATCATTCCAGCTCAATTCCAACTTGATTTTCCTTAGTCTTTTACATCCATGTAGAAAGTACCAGAGGGAACCTCATCATTGTACTCTATTAAATCTCACTTTCATAGATTCATATTAAAATAACTTTTGCTAACAGCATTGATAGTGACTCTTTGAGTGACCCTAAATCACTCATCTGTGACAAACTGATATTGTTGGTAGGATCCTAAATCCAGATTCATGGCAGAACTGAGGCCCTGAAGCTCCTGAGCTCCTGAGGGTTCAGGGTCCCCAGCAGGGGAGGATGAGGATGAGCTACGGCTTCCTGGGAGCAGCAGGAGACCCTGCTCTGAAGCACAGGAAAGGAGCATTTCCCTCGGAACATACGGCAGCCACAGCCCCCTCCGTGCTGCCAGCCCGTGCCCGCTCCAGCTCCAGGGCAGATGCCATCTGTGCTTTTTGGGAAGGGATCAGCACCGCAGAGGGGAGGCTGCTGGAGCCCTGGGCACTGTACCTGCTCAGCCCAGCCCCTGCAGTGCAGATCTGCAAAGCTGTTCTCTGGGTTCTCAGCACAGCCTTTGTGATGCCTCTGCACCCAACCTGTGCCAGGTGGATGAGCAGTGAAAGTACCGAGAGGTCCTGGTCAAGGCTAAACCCCCTGGCCAGGCTGGGCTCAGCTTGGGGGGCTCAGTTTGGGTGGGCTCAGCCCTGGGGCCTCAGCTTGTGATGCTCAGTACTGTGGCCACAGTTTGGGGTGCTCAGCCCGGAGGGCTCAGCACTATGAACTCAGCCCTGGGGGCTCAGCCCCAGGGGCTCACAGCTGCCTGCTCCCTGCAGCACTGCAGCTGCAGCTCAGGAGCAAGTAAACACGAGATGAAAGCCCAGGGAGATGAAAGTGGGGCTGGGGCTGCTGGGGCAGAGGCAGAGCGAGGCTGAGCTGTGGCTCCACAGACCTGTCTGGGCAACATCCTGCACTGCCGGGCGTGGGGCTGGGCTCAGCCACCTCCAGCCCTGCCACATCTTTTCCTACAAAGAAGCTTTTCCTCCCACTCCCTTGGCCGAGCTGGTCTGGCATGGGAGGGTCTTTCCCCCAAAAAGAAAGAGGGGCTGAGGAAGGCAAGTCCCTGCAGCCCTGTGGGTCACAGCTGGTTGGGTGCCACACACGCACGGACTCAGCACCCGCAGCACTCCAGGTGGGTGTGAAAGGGGAAGCTGAGGAACAGCGGCAGGAGCTGCCCTGGCTCCGAGGGCTGACCCAGCACCGCTCTCCACCCACCTGCAGCCCCACCACAGCTCAGCACTCGGGGCCTTGCAGGTGTCCTGGTTTCAGCTGAGACAGAGCCAGTTCTCTCCCCAGTAGCTGGTACGGGGCCGTGTTTGGGATCTGGGATGAGAATAATGCTGATAACACACCGATGTTTTGGTGTTGCTGAGCAGTGCTTACTCTAAGCCAAGGACTTTGTGTGTCCCGTGCTCTGCCAGCAAGGAGGGGCACAACAACTGGGGGAAGCAGGGCTGGGACAGCTGACCCAGGCTGGCCAAAGAGATATTCCACACCAAGGAACAGCATGTTCTCCAGCTGAGCTGCACCCACAAAACACTGGGAGAGGGGCTGGAGGGTGGTCCCAGCACCTCCACTGGGCAGGGAAACAGGCAAGAGCCAGTGCTGCATGCAGTGAACAAGAGGAGCTACAGCTGGGGAGCCCCTCACTCCCCTCCTGGCCAGGAAAACAACGTGCATCCCCCAAATGCAGTTTTTCCCAATTTAGTCCACCAGCCTCCATGACTGCACCCCTGGCTCCTTCCCATTGTAGAGGAGCCTCTTGGCAAGTTGGTGAGCTGGAATTCCCTCCCCTGCCCACTTCCACCTGAGTTTCAGGGCTGGGAGAACAGCTCAACCCTTGGGTACAGAGACACTGCAGACACAACTCAGGACACCCCCTGGCTGCTGCTCAGGTCCCATGGCCTTGGGCCCCAGTGCAGGGCTCAGAGCAGCCTGCACCGGGCATGTGGAGAGCAGGAGGAACCCAACCACCCCCCCAGGAGCTGTGCCAGGAGCACACACCCACGAGCTCCCAGCTCCCCAGCACAATCCCCAAGGAGCCCAAACACCCTGTGTTTGTTTTGCTGATGGGAAGGTTCTGACGAACGTGCAGTCACGAGACGCTCGGCGGCGGCGTGTGCTGTGTAAATACAACATAATTTATTGGTTCCATTTCAGAGCACGAGTGGTATTTGTACGAGTGTCCTAACGGCAGGATGAGAAATGACAGAGTCACATATGTACAGAGATTCCAGGGCACAGGAATGCTTTGTAAGGAAGAAGTGGTTAGTGGTGCAGTTTGGTCACCTACTGGTCCCCAAATCCTAGGTAGACCCACTACCTACTGGGGGGCGCTGCCAAGCTCTCCTCGTGCAAGCAGCAGGCGAGGCCGGGGGGGCTCTGGCTGCACAGCAGAGATTTTGGTCCCAGATGTGCAGAGCTGGGTGGGGTGGGGATGCTGAGGAACAGGGAGAAGGCTCCGTACCCCAGCGGAAGTGGCAGGGTCAGCGTACCACAAGGGACAGGGAGGGAGGGGATGGAGGAGAATTCCTGGTGCCTGTCTCAGCACCTTCCCTCTGGTGGCTCCCGCGAGGAGCTGCCAGTGTGGATCTGTGTCCCCATGGAGACAGTGCAGAGCCACAGCTGGGCTGTGTGCAGAGCTCAGCTCAGGGCTGGGCTGACACACGAGGGCAGATTTCCACTCCAACAGCACTGGCTCCAGCTGTGGCAGCCATGGGATGAAGCCCAGTCCCAGCTCACTCAGAGGGAGATCACGAGACCCAGGCCTTGGGGACAGGTGGGCACAGAGCAGCTCTGCCCCAAACCTGGACTCACAGCCAGTGGAAGAGGTGCTGGGGGATCCACACCTGGGGGATCCATGTACACCAGTCCTGTACCCTGCCTCCAGGGGTGGGAAATGTGTATCCCAAGGGAGGTACCGCTTCCATGGCAGCACCAGCCCCACAACACAGCTCTGTGTGAAGTGTCTGGCTCAGCTCACTCAGAGGGCACATGGAGGAGGCAGCTCAGGCAGCTCTTCCCCACTCCAAGAGCAAACATTCCCATCAAGTGGCCCACAAAATATTTTCTTTCCTTTTTATAGAAATTACTATAAAAAATTAGTTAATCTAGAGCATCTTTAAAAAAATATTCCTGCAGTATCACAGTTTTACATTGAAACTCATTAAAAATATATAATTTCTTAAACGAAACGTCTCTGTTCTCCCCTTGAATCACGTCTCCAATGTGGGATTGGGGCTCGGAGTCCTCGGAAGAGGTGGGAGCAGGAGGGTCTGAGCTCAGTGGCACATCCGGGAGGTCATTTCCTTCTGTTGAAGGGACAGAGAAGACAAGGGACTGTGAAGGAGGATCCAGGTTCCCAGGTGAGGGTGTAGATAAAAACCCCCTGTGTTTAGCTGTCAGTATTACTCCTAGGCACGGGGTGACCCTGCTGCCCACAGCTCCAGTTTGGGCAGGGCCGTGTTCCCCCCACCATTCCCATTCCCAGCACATCCTATCACATCCTGACTCCCAGGTTCCTGACAGTTACACTGCAAGGAAACCGGTCCTGAATTTGGGCAACGAGCTTTAGAAGAGAATCATGAAATCCTTAAGGTTTGGAAACACTCCCAAGATCATTAAGTCCAACTATTACCCCACCACTGCTGTGTCACCACTAAACCATGTCCCCAAGTGTCACAGCCACACGTTTCTTGAGCACTTCTAGGGATGATGACTCCAACACTGCCCTGGGCAGACCTTTCCAATGCTTGTCCCACCCCTTCAGTGAAAAAAATTTCCCTTAAATCCAATCTAAACCTCCACTGGCACAGCTTGAGAGGGTTCCCTCCTGTCCTGTCACTTGTTACATGGGACAAGACTGAGCCCCCCTGGCTGTCCCCTCCTGTCAGGAGTTGTGCAGAGCCAGAAGGTTCCCCCTGAGCCTCCTCTTCTCCAGGCTGAGCCCCTTTCCCAGCTCCCTCAGTTCCTTCTGGTGCTGCAGACTCTTCCCCAGCTCTGTTCCTGTATCTGGACATGCTCCAGCCCCTCAATGTCTTTGCTGGAGTGAGGGACCCAAAACTGACCCCAGGATCTGAGGTGGGGCCTTCTGAGAAGGTTCCAGAGCCCTCTGTGCCTGCCCCAGCCCTGTGCTGGCCACAGACCCTGAGAGCCCCACCAGACACTCACCAGGGGCTCCAGCTCCTTGGTGTCTATGAGATTGAACTCTTTCACAAAGTAGTAAAAGTGCTTGTAGCAGGTGTTCACGTGGGCCTCTGAGCCCATCTGGGTGATCCTGTCGAAGTGGTGGATGTAGACGTGGACAAACACCCGGAAGAGCCTGGAGAGAATCTTCTTCACCACTGGGAGGAAGTTCTTGGGGAAGGGAGTACCTTGGGAGGGGAAGAGTGGACATAAAAAACCTTTGGTCAAGTTAAAGCTGGTTGCTTAGGGCTAAAATTAATTGGTAAAATGGACAGATTGAGGCACAAGTTCTGTCCCTGGTAATTTCCAGCTCCCCTCTCCTTTTTCCTTTCCTTTGGATCACATTTTCCAAGCAGAGATTTTTTAAGTGACAGAGTGATGCACTGCTGTGACTGAAAGCAGAGCCCACATTCCCAGCAGTTCTTTCAGTCAGACAAGAGTTTTCTTCTACTACTGTTTGATGTATTTATATAAACAGTGCAGAACACCAGATACAACCAAGCAACTTCCCAAAGGAAGGGCCTGGTGCTGTTAACTCCCCACAGTTATCTCTTGTTTTGGTACATCTGTAGCTCTTTGGTTAAAAATTAAAGCTGTTAAGGTCCTCTTTGAAGGCTCCAGAACTGTTTGGCTGGGCCCCTGCAGCAGAGCAGTGTGGCCATACAGCCACCTCCATGGGTGTAAAGTTCACACTGTTTCTGGAGGAATAAGGATGAGTTAAACCCTTTCCCTTGCTCTGCAGCATTTCAGTCAGCATTGAAGGATCTGGTTAAAGCTGAGCTGAAGACAGTAACAACTAAAAAACCCCAAACCACAACCTCGTGCTGTCGGAAGCTCGTCCTGCAGCCCAGAACAGAACCAACACCCCCAGTGAGGTCCCCAGAGAGCTGCAGCAGAGCCCGTGCAGCGCGAGAACCTGCGGAGGGTTTGGTGCTGCAGCTGTCTCAAAACTGGCTGTTTATGGCCCCCCTCCCCTCTCTGCCCACTCCACATCAGGTTTAAGCAGCATTTTGGCACAGTGGAGGATCACTGTGGATGCTCAAGTGGCAGATGTGCCCCAAATAGGGACCAACTGCATCCCATCAGAGCTCCAAAGGGATGAACACCAGGGCAGGAGGGAGGGAGTGAGCTCTGCTGCACCTCATCTCCTCCCTCCCAGGAGACGGAAGCTCTGCATAGGCTCAGCTGTATTTACCTGATAACTTAGAGACTAAATTCTTCCATCTTCATCACAAAATAAAACCTAACAATCTCTGTCCCAAAGCTGCGTTTGGATATGAAGATTGAGGTGTCTTAGGCCAAACTCCTGTTTCCATGGTCCTGGCAGTAGATGAAACATGGCCCTTCCCTCCAGGCCTGTGCTAGCATCCCACCCTCTGGAGGGGCAGAGACAGCCACTGTGGCCTCTAATAACAGAGGGGGTGATTATGGCTTGTGACACCATTACCAGGTGACACAGAGCTGTGCCTCAGAGCTGGGCTGGCCATCAGCTCCCAGAGAGCAATCCTGCATCCAGCATGAGCCACTCCAGAGACTGACTGCTCTAAGGGCAGCCTCCTGTTTCACCGCCTCAGGGTATCCATGACTCCCAGTGAGATCTGGTACAGCTCTGGGTATTTCAGCACTGCAGAAGAGCTGGGAAGAGCTCACCGCACTGCTACAAGCGTCAGCTGTGCTTCAGCAACTCCTGGAACAGCAACAGGGGCTTCATGAGAAGGCTCCACACCCCCTCCCTCCCTCCAGCCCCAGCTGGGACCCAAACTCACCGACATTGGTGGGGAAGATGTCCTCGTTGTTGATCTGCACCTCGATCCAGTCCATGAGCAGGTTCATGTACTGGGGTGCGGACAGGGCCGTGGGTTTGCGGTACTTGTGCTCGTCCTGCCACCGGTACTCGTACTTGGGGCCCCCCGACATGACGGGGCAGGACTGCTCCGTGCAATAGTCACTGATGGTGCCGTAGATGAGGTTGATGCGGTTGAAGAAGTCCACGACGTGCACGGCCACCCAGTCGTTCTGCTCCTCGCCCGGCGGCAGCTGCACGGCCACCTTCAAGTCCAGGCCGGCGTTGAGCGAGGCCTGGGCCTTCTTGTGCAGCTCAAACCGCTGAGTGCCCGGCTCGAACTTGCGCTTGGGCCGGAAGGTTTTGTCTTTATTGAACACTTGCTTTAAAGCGTGGGACATTTTCCTTCTCTTGCGTGTCTTCCAGGCCCGCAGCGGTGACAGCCGGAGGCGCGGCCACTTCCCGGGGCACGGCTGGGGCGACTCTGATCTTCACAGAAACCTCCCTCTGCTCATCTGGTCCTGATCTGCAACACAGCACAGAAGGGCAGCGATTAGGAGCAGCTTTCTCAACAGGAAACCTCGTCTAAATCCCGTAGGAAGAGATCTGGGATGCCATCTGGGCCCTCGCCCCACATCTGAGAAGGGGGGGAGCCCACGGCAGCTTTCCTTCCTCCCCCTTCCCTCCGCGGCTGGAGCAGAGGGGAGGGGAGGCAGAGGGGTGACCTGGGCTGAACAGAGTCACCTCCTGACCTGTTCCATGTGGGAATGAGGGAACAGGCCCCACAGCCATGGGAGAGGGCTGCCACTCACCCCAACAGTGCCACACCACAAGACCCCAAGCCTGCAGAAATGCCTGCTTGGCTCACATGCACTAACAAAGAAGGGTAAAAGCAGCTGGGTTTCACCCAGATCCCATTTTCATCTCTGCATCCCCGCTTTGGGAACAAGGCCAGGCCAGGTCATGCCAGCCTACAAGACAGCCCAGAGCTGCTGCCAGACAGCCCCCACCAAGCCAGCCACTGAAAGTGAGAGACAGGAACCAAGGGGTGGAGGACAATGAGAAGAAGAAGTCACAGCTCAGGCACCCAGAAAGCAAATATCCTGAAATAACATCAGCCCTGAGAGCAGCCACAGCCTTTTCTGCAGGTGCATACAGACCATAAACATACTTCCCATTTCAGTTTAGCTGCATTTACAAGCTGAAAACTGGAAGATGAGGGGAAGTTCATCTTCCTCTACCAGACTGTAGAAAATCAGCTCCAAGGGAGAGACACAAGTTGAGATCTGAAGGGATGCTGACGAGAAACACAGCTCTGTTTATCTGTAGCTAATTATACCTCCTTTGTTCCCACATCCAGCCCCTCACAGAATTTGTGCCAGGCTGCTCTTTGATGAAAGCTTAAGGCAGAAAGCTTTGTGTACCAAAAATATTTTACATGTGCTGGACAGAGAAATGAATAAAGTAATAGAAACTAAGCTGATGCCTTAAATAGCAGAAATAAGTTTCCATAATTTCATAAGCAAGCAAGCAAAAAAATCCCTTTTCCCCAAGCAGAATCTATTTAGATTTACATGAGGCCTCAGGTTTACATGGGTGTTGTTCCAATAGGTAAATAGTGTCATCAAATGCTGGCAAGCACATCCCAAACTCAAGGTCATGACTACCATGGCTGCAATCGAGCCCATCTCTAACAGATGCTGCAGTGCTAATCAGCAGTTCTTCTCTGAAGAAAGATTAAAAAGCTTTAAAGCCAAGGCCTCTTGTTTCCTTATTTAATTACAGTGAGGAAGAAACCCCAAACCACTCCAGTTCACCTCACTAAGAACAGGCTCAACATTTCCTGTGGGAATGGGCTCAGTAACCTCTTCCATGCAGGAGCTGAGAGATCCAAACCCCAACTTGAGCTATGATGTGTTGGGAGAAACCCTAAAAGCATTTTAATGTGGTTCAGTGAGATACACCATGGGCTGAGAGGTGAATCCAGAGCAGATATGTCATCATGGAACGGATTAGGCTGGAAGGAACCTTAAAGACCATCCAGTTGCCACTCCCTGCCATGGGCAGGGACACCTTCCACTAGATCAGGCTGCTCCAAGCCCCATCCAACCTGGCCTTCCTGCTGCCAAAACAGCTGCTGTGACACCGTGAGCCACTCAGGGGAGACAAACCCAGCACAAACCCCTGACAGATGTGTCCTTTGGAGCATGATCCAGCCCCAGACGTGGCAGAGGAAGAAGTGAAGGGTGTGGAGAGACAGCTGAGCAGTGCTGGTTAGCAGGAGCTGTGTCACAGCCTGGCCACATCCTGTGGCAGAGTCGGAAGCTCCAGGGACTGCACCCACCCCGGAACTGAGGCACGGCCCCCACAGAACCAGCAATGTGGGCAGCAGGTGCTGAGGCTGCTGCTACTTCCAGCAGAAAGTCCAGGGAAGCACTTGTGATGAGTTCCCTGCACTGGAGATGGAGGAAAACACATCCTCTCACACAAGAAACCACAAAGCAACAGCAGCACCACCCTCCATGTGGCTCCCTGGATCACCCCTAGCAGTGTGACTCCATCCCTGCTTCTTTTCTGGAGGATCTGCACTGCAGGGCCTGGCATGGATGTGGATGGAGTAAAACCTAATGGTAAAACCAAACATCCCCTGGCTTTGGCACCACACATCAAGAAACAAACACCAACCATTTTGCTCATCTGAGCGGGATGGAGAGATTTTTCATAGAATTACAGAATATTCTGAGTCAGAAGGGATCCACAGGGACAATCCAGTCCAGCCCCTGTCCCTGCCCAGCCACCCCAACAAGCCCACCCTGAGCACCCCTGGCAGCGCTGTCCAAACGCTCCTGCAGCTCTGGCAGCCTTGGGGCCGGGACCATTCCCTGGGCAGCCTGGGCAGTGCCAGCACCCTCGGGGGCAAGAACCTTTCCCTGAGCTCCATGCCAAGCCCTGGCACAGCTCCAGCCCTTGCTGGCCTCCTGTCCCTGTCCCAGAGCAGAGCTCAGCCCCTGCCCCTCTGCCTCCCCTGGGGAGGAGCTGCAGCCCCCGAGGAGCCTCCCCTCAGTCTCCTGTGCTCCAGCTGAACGAGCCAAGTGCCCTCAGCCGCTCCTCAGAGCCTTCCCCAGCTCCGTGTCCCTCCTTTGGGCACTCTCCAACAGCTTTGGATCCTTCTGATCTCGTGGTGCCCAAAGTGCCCCCAGCCCTGGAGGTGAGGCTGCCCCAGTGCAGAGCAGAGTGGGACAGTCCCTCCCTGGCCTGGGGCCCCCCAGGACAGGGGGGGCCTTTGGGCTGCCAGGACACAGCGGTGACTCAGATCCAACTTGCCACTGACCAGGACGCCCAGGGCCCTTCCCACGGCGCTGCTCTCCAGCCTCACTCCCAGTCTGTCCCTGCATCCAGGGCTGCCCCATCTCTGGGCAGGATCTGACACTTGCCCTTGTCACTTGTCACATGGCTGGGGATTTCCCAGCCCCCACATTTGTCAGGGTCTCTGTGCAGGGCAGTTCACTTGGTGTTGAGGCAGTACTGGTCCTAGAAACCAATTCCTGATCCTATGGAGACATCAGCCCTGAGAACAGGGGAGCTCAACACAGAGCAATTGTCTCTCAGACGATTCAGCATCTGTGTGAAACATTAGCAAAATGAGTAGCTGAGACATCAAGCAGATGCAGCCTATTTAATTACGGTCTCTGACTGCAGTGAGCTAAAAGAAACATTTAGCTCTAGGAAAAAAATAAAAATAAAGAGGCACAGAGACCAAAGCATCCCTGACATTGCTCAGAGATGATATCATCTGTACAACACCTACTTCCACAGGCAGGAGTCACAGCTGACACCGCCCCCACACACAAGGGAAAGGAAAGGTTAGAGACAATTGGGAAATGGGACATGCAAAGCACCTGGATGGTATCTGCAAGCTTTAAAGGTGAGGGGAAAAACCACTCCCCCCACTAAACAAACCTCAGTACATTTTGTTGCCTCCTCCCTTCAGCCAGCCAAGATCACAGCAGACGTCACCGGTGCTCTGGGAGGACCTTGGCCAGCGCTCAGGATCAGAGCCCATGACCCCCGTGGGCTGTCCAGGGCACAAACACACCTCCAGCTTATCCCAAGGACACGGGAGGAGCAGCTCCCTACCATGCTGGACTTGTCTGCCCAGGGGTCTCAAGGCCTGGCCCTCCCTTCCCCCCATCCCAAAAGCTCCTCTTCTCTGACTCCCTGCTTGTGCAGCTCCAGTTCTGTGCTGGTTTTGCTGCCAGGGCTGTTGGCACTGTCCTGCCATTCCACTTCCCTTGCCAGGAATGGTGGATCATGAGGAGCTGCCTTGCTCTAACACCAGGCTCTGGGCAGAGGAAGGAATCCCAGGCAGCTGCTCCCCAACTCCTGATCACTTGTAAAAGCAGCTCAGAGTCTGAAAAAGGGAGGAGTCACCTCCCCAAAACACCAGGAAACTGCCTCCCCTTGCACCCTACTGAGCCATCCCGAGGTTTTCCAGAAGCCAGCAGAGTTCCCGACAGATCCTGCCCTCCCTACAGAGGCAGAATGGCCCAAAAAGGACTCCAGGAGTCCCATGACTGCTCCAGCAGTGCCAGCCCCAGCAGCACTCCATGCTCCCCTCTGCTGCCAACACTGCACGGGGTTTAACAACAGCCAGGGAAAACCAGCAAGGCAGCAGTCAGCAAGCTCCTACCTGTGTTCCTGGCCTCAGCAGGTCACTCCTGCAGAGGGCTCAGCCCTGCTCTGCACCCTCTGTCAGCGCTGGCAGGCGCCGAGGCCAAGCTTCCTTTTTCAAAAGAGGGGAAAAAAACTCCCCGTTTGCTTCATGGGCGGCCACAACCCAGCGGCTCCGCAGCTGGGGAGGGGTCAGACACGAGGCCGCCTCCCTCCTCCGTGACCCCAGCGCCGGGCCGGCCACATCCTGCTGCCTCTGGTAAAACAGCCCTTCAGCACAGCCCAGGGAGCAAGGCAGCTCTTCAAATCAGGGATTTGTCCAGTTTCCTGACCGGGAAGCCAGGCTGCTGTCCTCACATGCCACCGAGTCCAGATGCCTGTATCCCGTGGGTAGGGAGCCTGTGACAGCCACTGTGTCCCCAGAGCTCACCAGGAGAGGGGAGTCACGATCCTGCTTCCCCCTGAGCCACTCCCGGGGCCCTCAATGCCAGGCCAGAATTCCCAACACAGGACACAAAACCCCCGACTGATAAACAGCCCTGATAAAGGTATTTTGGATGCAATGAGCATTTCAAGTAAAAACCTGAATTTACAGAATGAGGAAGAGAAGAAAAGCAGTTTCAAACAGGCAACTTGCACAAAACAGCCAAGATGGATGCACACGTACATTTTTTCCACAATTCCACCCCCCTCCTTTCACAAATCCCTTTCCATGGCCACTCTGCACTAGTTCAGTGTCTCGGGACAGGATGATCCTGGTTTTCTCCGATCAAAGGAGAGATTTTACTACAGAGAGCAGGGACCGGAACAATCCTGGCAGCCACCCTACACTAATGGCAGCCAGTTTCTGCGCCTCCAGAGCCAGTCTAGCAACAAACGAGGGCTTGTCTTCCTGGGACAAGACTTCCAGCTGCTCTTTCGAATGGATTTGTGATACGAGGAGCAAAGGTCTGCCCCGCGCTTACCTCGGGCAGGGCAGGGCAGGGCGAGGAGGGCTCAGTGTGGCTGGAAGGCACCCCTGGCCATTCATAATCCCAGCCAGCCGGCACTTCCACGTCAGCCGCTTCCTGTCTGGCACTGCCTCCAGCCTCCCGGCCCAGGGAGCTGCCAATGTTTTCCCAAAAGCTAATCCCTCCCCTCTGCAAGCTCTGTCTTTGCTCCCGCAGGATCACTCCACGCTGCTGCAGGAGAGCTGAGCCACCTTTCCCTTCAGCATTGCCTTCCCCATCCGTCCCCTGTGCTCAGCCCCAGCAGCTGAAGCTGCTCAGAAGTTTCTGGACAAGGAGCAGCTTGACCCAGCCCAGCTGCACCTCCAACCCTAACCCCACTTCATTCTGCTGCTCTGCAGGACAACATCCACATTTTTCTTTTAGAAAGTGCTTTAGCAGCAGCCTTTGCAACCAAATCTGAACAGGGGCACACTGGAAATGCTGAATTCCGAAGGTTTGGGCAAACAAAGAGCCTTTTGTCTTTCACCAGAGTCAGCTTTAAGAAGGTCCTGCCTGTTGCCAGCCACCCCCAGGCCCCGCTATTCCAATCTGCTGCACAATTTGGAAATTCCCGAGGAAGAAATGGTACAGCTCTCCTGGGACTTCCCACATCTCCAGGCCCTTCCTGGAAAGAGCGTGGCTTAGGCGAAGAGGTTGGTTTAGGAGCAGGACAAGGCTATAAGCATAATATAAGCATAATAAAAGACCAGAAATAGTTATCCTGGGCTTTAACTAGCATCTCCTTCACCCCTGCAATGCCAAGCATTCCAGACAATCCTAAAGTTGAGTTAGTTTATGGAATAAAGGGAAAAGCCCTGTTAAATTAAGCAGTATCTGGTATAGCAGAGGACCCACCAGAGGTGAGGGGAGCTCTGGCAGAACCCATCAAGAGCTGCAAGTGGGAATGCTGCTGCTTGGAGCAGAGAGCCCAGCTCAGCCAGCAGTGAGACACCAGCATCCATCCCAGGCAGATGGATGAGCAGGGAGTTTATTGCTTGGCTTCAAGATCAGGATTGACATTCAGACAATGACAGGAGGGATGTTACAGGTGACACTGCTCACACTGCACAGGGATGCTGAGCAAGGGCAGGTGAGGCAGTGAGTGCTGGGGAGGCTGGAAAACCCAGTCTGGTAAGGGAGAGGGAAGGCAAGAAATTTCCAGCGTGGTTTGTCCCCCTGGCCTTCCGCCCCACAGCCACAGAGGGAGAAAACCCACACGAGAAAGTAAGTTCTGTAAAAGGTCCCCTCCTGCTTCCCTCCCCAGAGGGAAAGGTCAGGCAGCAGATGCTGCAATCTCCAAGTGTTCCCGTGGAACAGCAGTGACTGCAGGGAGCCCCACGGAGCCCCGGGTGTTACTGACTCAGGGCCAGCCCTGCTGCTCTTACGTGACATCTGCATCCACGGCAATGTCAGAGCCCGCTGCTGGAAGGTCTCCACAGACCCAGGCGGGATGGGGCTGCGTGTGCAGGCAGAGCTAATCTGCTGCGGGCTTTGCAGGGCTGTGCTAAGCTGACAAGCTGGGTCACGACTCCAGCACACACGTTAACTGCACACACAAGTATTTACAGGGAAGAGCACAGCCAGTGACGGCACAGTAGGAGCAGCTCCCACTTTTCCAGGTCCCAGAGCAGCCTGTCCTTTGGGAAGGCCTCTTGCTGTCCCCACTACAGGGCTGGAAGGGCAGGGTGGTGTTTATTAAGTCCCAGCTGAGCTGCTCGTCTCTCCCTGCTTGTGCAGGCTCTGTACTGTCCTCACTGGACAGGGATATTTCTGGGCCCACAGCAGTTCCATTTCCTCTAACTTTGGGATCTGCCCCCACCCAAGTCAAAGCTAATATCAGTTTGCAGCATGAAATTTGCATTAGGATGAAAAAATGACTATGGCACCATTTTAACAGTGGGCTGGGATCCCAGGAAGTGTGGGATCACACTGCAGGGCAGAGCTGGAGCACGAGCTGGCCACACAACCAGCCTTTCTCAGAGCATGGATAATCCCAGGGACAAACATCCCTTTTCCCTATGTTAATGTCACACGTTGGGATGAATGGCAGGATTGTCTCTTGCTGACAGCAGAGGCCCACGAGGCCTCTCCTGCCCTGGCAGGAGATATGGGAATAACTCAATCCCTTAGCACAGCTCCAGGCACAGAACGAGCTCATGGAAGTGGAGCTGAAGACCCCCTCGACACCAACCACATCACACAGCCAGAGGAAAGAGAGAAGGAAGCAAAGGCAGCCAGACAACAGCCCCAAGAGAGGCCTGCAGAAAATACAGGGCCTTTCAGTGCAGCCACAGGGCCAGCTCAGCTCCTGTTGCAACCTCAGCCATGGCCTGGGTGGCTCCAGCTCATCTTCTGTCCCACGAGTTCCCGGGAATCAGCACAGGGTCACACAGGGGAGTGTCTGCAGCATCACCACGGTGGCCTCATCTCACTCACACTGACCCAGCACCAGCCCTTTGGAACCTCAGCCAGGTTTTCTGGAGGAAGTCAAAGCTGTCAAGAGTGTGATGTATTGCTTTGCTCTGGCTTTGCCCAACTGCAAAAGTTGCTATTTTGCTGGGATTTTTTTCTGGCCTTCGCTGCCTCCATCCCTTCCTCTGCCCTCCCTTCTGCTTCATATACCCAGAGCAAAAACCCACCCAAATACACCAGGAGCAGAGCAGCACCTCTACCACAGCACCAGCTCCACAGGGAAGCAGGCAGCAGACCAAACCAGGCCTCAGAGATACCTCTGTCTCCCAGGGGCATCTGGAAAAAGGAGGATAAAGGTGCAGCCTACGGTGCAGTCTTTATTGACAGCATTAGCTGGTATCACATATTCCTAAAGATAAGCTGGTAAACCTCCAGTAAAGCTGGTTCTGGATCCACTTACAGCAGCATTTATGGCTCAAGAACCAGAAAATACTGCATTGTCTTACTAGAAATTAAAACTCAGAAATTGAAAGCAACTCCCTTCCCAGACCTGTGGACAGGACTGGAAAGGTTTTGCAATCTCTGTGTTCTGACCCAGACACTTTCACTACTCACAGGGGACATCTTCTCCATTAGTGTGGCCATGGAGACCTCTGGCCCTCACAGAGGAGCAAGAGTGACCAAGCACAGCACAGATCTGGACAGCCCAATCTCCAAAATGGGACTAAATCACCCCTTTCCAGTGTGGGGGCACTTTTCACCCCATCAGTAGAAGGGCCATGTTAGATGTGGACAAGGAAGCAGCTGGCAAACAGCTCCAGAGGCAGCTGAAGTGAAGTTGGACAACTTTGCTCAGGATGCTGAGTCTACTCCAAGCTTCCCAAGCCTTGGCCAAGAACATGGGAGAGCCCATTTCCATGTCTGATGATGGCACAGGTGACAGAGCAAGAGAGCATCCCAGGAGCTGCAAGGTGAGCCAGGCACAGGGAACCTGCTCAGATCCTTGCTATAAACCAACAGCTCCAGGTTTTGCCACCATTGGAAAGAATTCCCAATGCTGCTCCCTCTTTCTGGGGATTTTGAAGAGTCACAAACTCAACCCAGGTTCACCTCACAGGAAGTGACTAAGACAGAAAGTGAATCTGAAACATGGGATACACAGTCCAGGGAACAGCGACAGACAGGGAGCTGGAAGTGAGCCTGAAGTTGGGAAAGGAAGCAGAGTGCAAGGACAAAGCCCTGGGGACTGTGATAAACAGGTGGCTGGGGAAGTTTCACATCTCCCAGCAAAATCCCTCCCTGCCCTGCAACTTGGCAAAAGATTTCCAGACCGGAAAGGGACTTTTAACAAAGGGATGGAAATCCAGAAAGTGTGGCCACTCTGCAGCTCCAAGCTCTAAGAGGAGGGAATCCTGCCTTTCACTAGCACTAACAGAAAAGCTTTCCCCAAACATCTGTGCTGGACACTGGACAACTCCAGATCCCCTGTCCTTTCCCTCCAGAGGGCTTCCTGCCCCTTCCTTTTGCCTGTCCTTCTCACACAGGTTTCTTTGAAGGAGCTGAGCTCACTGTGCCCAGATCAGAGCAGAGGCAGCTCTGTAAGATCAGGATTCCTGAGCCCGCAGCAAGAGACAGAAGCAGAGCAAGAGTTTGCTTTCAAGTTCTCCTGACACATTCTCCCTCATGACAGCTGAGCCGTGGCTCACCGTGACCTGAAAAAAAATGGAAAATTCCCCATTCCCCGACCAGTTTGGACACTGAAAGGTTGGCACCTCAGAGCTATGCCTTTACCTATAGCAGATGGGCTGGAGAAAGTCGGGATTGAGAGGTGGGATAAAATAGGGAAGTTGAAAGCTGTAACTTCACAGTTGTGCCACCAACCCCCTTACTCTCTGCGATTTTTTTTTTCTTCATTACGAATTTTTCGGTTGCTCACGAATCCTGCAGCACGATCCGACCCCTCTGAAGGGAGGGGGCTGCGCCCAGCAGCCAGGGCTCTGCTCGGGGATGTCCCATCCAAGGGGTTTCTCCTCCGTGCCGGGCCAGCGCAGGCAGATCCATGCCCTGATCCCCGCCCCAGGGG